TAATTAGTGTTGTTAGCCTGGTGGTCATGTAGCTAGTAACGGTGTAATTAATGTAGTTAGCCTGGTGGTGACGTAGCTAGTTACGGTGTAATTAGTGTAGTTAGCCTGGTGGTCATGTAGCTAGTTACGGTGTGATTAGTGTCGTTAGCCTGGTGGTCACGTAGCTAGTTACGGTGTAATTAGTGTAGTTAGCCTGGTGGTGACGTAGCTAGTTACCGTGTAATTAGTGTAGTTAGCCTGGTGGTGACGTAGCTAGTTACAGTGTAATTAGTGTAGTTAGCCTGGTAGTCACGTAGCTAGTTACGGTGTAATTAGTGTAGTTAGCCTGGTGGTCATGTAGCTAGTTACGGTGTAATTAGTGTAGTTAGCCTGGTGGTCCTGTAGCTAGTTATGGTGTAATTAGTGTAGTTAGCCTGGTGGTCACGTAGCTAGTTACGGTGTAATTAGTGTAGTTAGCCTGGTGGTCACGTAGCTAGTTACAGTGTAATTAGTGCAGTTGGCCTCGTGGTCATGTAGCTAGTTACGGTGTAATTAGTGTAGTTAGCCTGGTGGTCACGTAGCTAGTTACGGTGTAATTAGTGTAGTTAGCCTGGTGGTTACGTAGCTAGTTGCACTGTAATTAGTGTAGTTAGCCTGGTGGTCACGTAACTAGTTACGGTGTAATTAGTGCAGTTGGCCTGGTGGTTACGTAGCTAGTTACGGTGTAATTAGTGTAGTTAGCCTGGTGGTCACGTAGCTAGTTATGATGTAATTAGTGTAGTTAGCCTGGTGGTGACGTAGCTAGTTACGGTGCAATTAGTGTAGTTAGCCTGGTGGTCACGTGGCTAGTTACGGTGTAATTAGTGTAGTTAGCCCGGTGGTTACGTAGCTAGTTACGGTGTAATTAGTGTAGTTAGCCTGGTGGTTATGCGGCTAGTTATGGTGTAATTAGTGTAGTTAGCCTGGTGGTCACGTAGCTAGTTACGGTGTGGTTAGTGTAGTTAGCCTGGTGGTCATGTAGCTAGTTACGGTGTGGTTAGGGTAGTTAGCCTGGTGGTCACGTAGCTAGTTACGGTGTAATTAGTGTAGTTAACCTAGTGGTCACGTAGCTAGTTACGGTGTAATTAGTGTAGTTAGCCTGGTGGTCATGTAGCTAGTTACGGTGTAATTAGTGTAGTTAGCCTGGTGGTGACGTAGCTAGTTACGGTGTAATTAGTGTAGTTATCCTGGTGGTCATGTAGCTAGTTACGGTGTAATTAGTGTAGTTAGCCTGGTGGTCATGTAGCTAGTTACGGTGTAATTAGTGTAGTTAGCCTGGTAGTCACGTAGCTAGTTACGGTGTAATTAGTGTTGTTAGCCTGGTGGTCATGTAGCTAGTTACGGTGTAATTAGTGTAGTTAGCCTGGTGGTCATGTAGCTAGTTACGGTGTGATTAGTGTAGTTAGCTTGGTGGTGACGTAGCTAGTTACGGTGTGATTAGTGTCGTTAGCCTGGTGGTCACGTAGCTAGTTACGGTGTAATTAGTGTAGTTAGCCTGGTGGTGACGTAGCTAGTTACGGTGTAATTAGTGTAGTTAGCCTGGTGGTGACGTAGCTAGTTACAGTGTAATTAGTGTAGTTAGCCTGGTAGTCACGTAGCTAGTTACGGTGTAATTAGTGTAGTTAGCCTGGTGGTCATGTAGCTAGTTACGGTGTAATTAGTGTAGTTAGCCTGGTGGTCCTGTAGCTAGTTATGGTGTAATTAGTGTAGTTAGCCTGGTGGTCACGTAGCTAGTTACGGTGTAATTAGTGTAGTTAGCCTGGTGGTCATGTAGCTAGTTACGGTGTAATTAGTGTAGTTAGCCTGGTGGTGACGTAGCTAGTTACGGTGTAATTAGTGTAGTTAGCCTGGTGGTGACGTAGCTAGTTACGGTGTAATTAGTGTAGTTAGCCTGGTGGTCATGTAGCTAGTTATGGTGTAATTAGTGTAGTTAGCCTGGTGGTGACGTAGCTAGTTACGGTGTAATTAGTGTAGTTAGCCTGGTGGTCATGTAGCTAGTTACGGTGTAATTAGTGTAGTTAGCCTGGTGGTGACGTAGCTAGTTACGGTGTAATTAGTGTAGTTATCCTGGTGGTCATGTAGCTAGTTACGGTGTAATTAGTGTAGTTAGCCTGGTGGTCATGTAGCTAGTTACGGTGTAATTAGTGTAGTTAGCCTGGTAGTCACGTAGCTAGTTACGGTGTAATTAGTGTTGTTAGCCTGGTGGTCATGTAGCTAGTAACGGTGTAATTAATGTAGTTAGCCTGGTGGTGACGTAGCTAGTTACGGTGTAATTAGTGTAGTTAGCCTGGTGGTCATGTAGCTAGTTACGGTGTGATTAGTGTAGTTAGCTTGGTGGTGACGTAGCTAGTTACGGTGTGATTAGTGTCGTTAGCCTGGTGGTCACGTAGCTAGTTACGGTGTAATTAGTGTAGTTAGCCTGGTGGTCATGTAGCTAGTTACGGTGTAATTAGTGTAGTTAGCCTGGTGGTGACGTAGCTAGTTACGGTGTAATTAGTGTAGTTAGCCTGGTGGTCATGTAGCTAGTTACGGTGTAATTAGTGTAGTTAGCCTGGTGGTGACGTAGCTAGTTACGGTGTAATTAGTGTAGTTATCCTGGTGGTCATGTAGCTAGTTACGGTGTAATTAGTGTAGTTAGCCTGGTGGTCATGTAGCTAGTTACGGTGTAATTAGTGTAGTTAGCCTGGTAGTCACGTAGCTAGTTACGGTGTAATTAGTGTTGTTAGCCTGGTGGTCATGTAGCTAGTAACGGTGTAATTAATGTAGTTAGCCTGGTGGTGACGTAGCTAGTTACGGTGTAATTAGTGTAGTTAGCCTGGTGGTCATGTAGCTAGTTACGGTGTGATTAGTGTAGTTAGCTTGGTGGTGACGTAGCTAGTTACGGTGTGATTAGTGTCGTTAGCCTGGTGGTCACGTAGCTAGTTACGGTGTAATTAGTGTAGTTAGCCTGGTGGTGACGTAGCTAGTTACCGTGTAATTAGTGTAGTTAGCCTGGTGGTGACGTAGCTAGTTACAGTGTAATTAGTGTGGTTAGCCTGGTAGTCACGTAGCTAGTTACGGTGTAATTAGTGTAGTTAGCCTGGTGGTCATGTAGCTAGTTACGGTGTAATTAGTGTAGTTAGCCTGGTGGTCCTGTAGCTAGTTATGGTGTAATTAGTGTAGTTAGCCTGGTGGTCACGTAGCTAGTTACGGTGTAATTAGTGTAGTTAGCCTGGTGGTCACGTAGCTAGTTACAGTGTAATTAGTGCAGTTGGCCTCGTGGTCATGTAGCTAGTTACGGTGTAATTAGTGTAGTTAGCCTGGTGGTCACGTAGCTAGTTACGGTGTAATTAGTGTAGTTAGCCTGGTGGTTACGTAGCTAGTTGCACTGTAATTAGTGTAGTTAGCCTGGTGGTCACGTAACTAGTTACGGTGTAATTAGTGCAGTTGGCCTGGTGGTTACGTAGCTAGTTACGGTGTAATTAGTGTAGTTAGCCTGGTGGTCACGTAGCTAGTTATGATGTAATTAGTGTAGTTAGCCTGGTGGTGACGTAGCTAGTTACGGTGCAATTAGTGTAGTTAGCCTGGTGGTCACGTAGCTAGTTATGGTGTAATTAGTGTAGTTAGCCTGGTGGTGACGTAGCTAGTTACGGTGTAATTAGTGTAGTTAGCCTGGTGGTCATGTAGCTAGTTATGGTGTAATTAGTGTAGTTAGCCTGGTGGTCATGTAGCTAGTTACGGTGTAATTAGTGTAGTTAGCCTGGTGGTCATGTAGCTAGTTACGGTGTAATTAGTGTAGTTAGCCTGGTGGTCATGTAGCTAGTTACGGTGTAATTAGTGTAGTTAGCCTGGTGGTGACAGCTATCGCCTTGGAGCAGCCTCAATGTTTGTTAAACGTCACTCGTCCTGACCCCTGCAGAAGCCAAAAACAAATTCCACGCAGAAAGCGGTGCCCAGGCCACGAATGGAACATACAATAGGTCCTCAATTGCCGTGACGCTCGATTATCACGGCAATTGAGGACAGGAGTGGTGGAGCAGTGTACGCTGCCACTCCAGGCACTGTCCTTTGTGTTGAGAGGTTTATTTTGGATGAAAGGAGAGAAGGAATGGCGCGCATATCAGAGGCCATGGGAATGAGCGCCGGAACAGTTCATTGAAATGAGCTGCCCCCCATTCTCTTACGGTCGCGATTGCCGCCTTCTCTGCTGTGATTGCTGTTACATCCCATTGAGCCGAGTCTCTGTCTGCCGCGTCGTCCCGCCTGCTCTTAGTTCTTCCTCTCTTCCATATCCCGCGTGTCGGTTACCATTTAGTACGTTATTTAAATAACGCACATTCGGTATTATACTGACATTAGTTGCGCAATTGTTGGCAATGTACGGTGTGAAATAATTGCAACATATAGTACGTACATACGTACATTAGTGAAACTCCATTTGTACATAACTCCATTTGTCCTATGCCTTTGATTCTCCTCTTTGCTAAATAACTTCAGGCACCTCTTTTCCGCACGATGCGCATGCCCTACTGCTTTGTACCGTGTCTTGAGATTCGATTGCATTGAGATGCCGTTCAAATCCGTTTGTTCATCGCAATTGTGCAGAAGATGATGGCTCGTGTAACGTGATCACTGATTTTTTTTTTAAACTGCAATCAGTTCAGCACTCCCTGCTGCCACGTGTTGTAAGACGATACAGGTGCCACGTATACCGTTTTGTCCAGAATACCAGGCACAATTTTTAATCGCTGCAATTGAAAGCAAAAGCCCCGAGGCCCGTCTTATATTTCAGCGTGCGGTGTGCGTGCGGTGTGCGTGTGGGTAACCAGACTCGAATTACGTTAAAGACACCCGAGCACAAGTTCTTCTGGGACGCCTCTCATTTTCCGGAGAGTCTCATAATGCGGAGGACACGGTAACACGGGAGCACGCACGTGTACAACCGTCCCAGGTGTGCTGAGCGGGTGGCGAGGAGAGACGGGTGCGGGGAACGGGACACCCACCAGCCTCCATGCAGGGCTCCAACTTGTCAAAGTACTCGGGGGCGATGAGGCGGACCACGGTGGAGTAGAGGCACAGGTAGGGCAGGCTGGTCAGGAGCACCACTGACTGAGGGCGTGCGTTTGCGTGTGGGGACGGGGGTAATGTACGAAATGCAACGTGAACAATTAGAAATTACATTTTGACTTAAAACTTTTGTGACTGCAGGAATTCATATAAAGTCACGTAGATAGAAACATTTTATATAAATGAAAGATAAAAAAACCACGACGTTTCGATCGCAACACAAGTGGTCGTCACCCCTTTTCCTGATGATGATCGCTTGTGTTGCGATCGAAACGTCGTGGTTTTTGAAATTGTATTTTTATCATTTTTTCTTCTACCTACGTGACTTTACCGAAATAACCAAAGAATTAGAAATTATACAACGGAGACAATAGCAACGAGACAATAGCAACGAGACGTATAAAACCCAGGATTCGTGAGGTGAATCGGGGCCCTGAATCCCAACAATTCATGGAATTCCTGGGGGAGGCGAATCATTAAAAACCGAATCAATGAGCTGGACTTGCGGGTAGAACCAGGTTAATTTTGCAATCGAACTTACAATTCACGAGACACCCGGCAGTGCTGCACAGATGCTGCCTTTGTGCCACGGCTCTGAGCCATGCAAGCGTCCACTTGGTTCATAACGAGGGAGATTGGAAAAGATGTTCGCGTGCAGGAGGAGTGAGAGGAATGTTAGCAGCGCTGGGCTTCAGAGACGGCCACGAGATTGGGGAGGCATTCACCCGGCAGTCGGATAGACAATGGCTGACGGCAAGTTTAACAATACGCCTTCATCCATCATTGAGGTTGGGTTAGATCGCGAAAGTCTACGTGTTAAACAAATACACCTTCGGCGCCTTTTTTTTGTTATTTCAAATGACAGAAGCTGAGCACAGGTCAAAAAGGTTAAAGGAAACGCCAAAAAGCGGCCAGCAAATAACCAGTCCTGTTAAAGATGATTAAGATCCGATACATTCCTTGAGTTCACTGGGGCAGCCGCACACAAATCGGGTCCTCTTGGTCACAGCTTGCCCGGCAGAAGACTTTACGGACGCTGAACTTGGGCTCCGAATGCCTCGCGTCTAGACGCACGCTGAACACACCTTCTGGAAGTAGCCCCGGCGCAGACTCTTGTCTCTCACTTGACGAAAGTAGACGTAGCCGTAGAGAAAGTGAGGGTCGCTCTACGCATGCACGGGTGGGGAGGGGGGGGAAGAGTGACCCCCAGCACCGTGGCTCAAGCCCACTTGACTCCACACTTTTGCCATCAACTCCAACCCTCTCAATGCCGTGAAAGATCGTTTAAAAGATGTGCCGCGCGGAGGCCATTTGTAAAAAAAAAAATTCCACCGCTTAGTGGAATTTGACTATACGTCACCGTGCCGGTCAGTGCGGGTTGGTGTGAAGGCCAGCGGCGAGCGCGGTCCGTTAGAGCATCGTACGAATCGACAATGGATTTTGATTAAACGGGCCCAGTGCCGGATTAAGCTAGTGTGGGGCCTTCTTGACTGAAAGCCTTCGTGACTGCAGGAATTAATATTCTTTGCAACGAAATTGATTTCTCTAAGACGAAGGTACTTTGCAAACCCACTGGCTATCAAGAAAGATTCGTTCATGAAGCCATCCACATATACAGACACAATTTCAAGATGGGTACAATTTCAAGATGGGTACAAACTGAGCAATCATTGGAAGGACGTTATTAAGCAGTTTAAGTGATAACTGGTTGTGATGTTCCCATCCTACCACCTTCCGATGTTAGTTGTTATTTTCGGCTCTCTGATTTTACATTAACAGATACAATTTCTCACATTAACATAGCCACCTCGGCGCGCTCGCCGTGGAGGCCGCTCAGCGATCTTACATTAACATGCAAATTTTTACGTGGCAGCCCTTTGATTGGTGGAAAACCCACCACCATCGCAGTCGCTGCCCACCACTTACATTAACATAAGCTGCCCCGCCCATGCTGCTGACATTTGGGCTACGCCCATTTTAAACCTTTATAAAAGTCTGCCTTCAGAAGCTAACCCCCCTCTTCCTGATGACGACTGCTTGTGTTGTGATCGAAACGCCGTAGTTTTTTTGTTATTTTCTTTAACCTATCTACGTGACTTTACCAAAAGACCCAAAGAATAGTGCGAGGCCTGTAGCATATGTTATAAAAGGGCCCTAAATTAAATAAAAACACATAAATATTAAAACACACATTTTTTACTTGCATAGTAAAGTAATTGTATTTTTTGCTGTATTTGCTATACAGCCATATAATACGACAAATCGCTCACCTTAAACACCCAGTCCTTCGTAAAAGTTGAAGCCAGCATAGTACTATAGTAACAGAGCAAGTGCAGAATAACTGAACTGGAATTGATAGCTTGAAAGCATTTAGTGCGGGGCCCTTGAAAGTGCGGGGCCTGTAGCTACTACATGTGTAGTAGCTACTACACATGTAGTAGCTACTACATGTGTAGTAGCTACTACATAAGTAGCTACTTTTGCTTCTAGGAGAATCCGGCACTGAACGAGCTGGCAGCTGCTTCACCGCACCCTGTAATGCCTGTTGTGCGTAGCGGTCGCTCATCCGAGCATAATCCATGCTTCAACCCACCTCGGTTTCCGAGCTCTGTGCATTTCGGGTGACCTTGTCAACGGTGCATAAATCACATTGCAAGCAACAACAAAAAAGCTGGCGTGAATGCTGAACTAAAAAAAAAACTGCTGACGTGGAAAAGTGTTCATATTTCAATTTAAAACTTTGCATGTCAGCTCTCTTCAGTTCTTTATAGTGCCACGCCATAACGTGTAGTCTCTAACTGGCATTAGCCAATTGCTGTCTTCATTGACACTGCCTTAACACGACAGCAATTTAGGTTCGGCCTCAGACTAAGTCTTTGTGGAGATCGTGGTACCTTTAACAAGGCAGTGTTAATGACGAACATGGAAAGTGTTTTTGTTAATTTGTGCTTGTCAAACAATTCCAATGTTGTCCCTCATGTCTTGAGTCAAAAAGCCACTCCAAGGTAACTTATGGTTGGACCCCGTTCCTCACACATTATCACAGGGTACTTGCCAATTATCCATAAAGCGCTGAATTAGTATCATAAGTCCGTGCTAAATAACAATTATTCCCGAAAAAGCCATATTTGAGACCTAACTTAACACCAGACGAAGGAGGGCATGACTAGATTGTTCAGAGCCAATATAATGCCAACCCTGCAGCCAATAGAAGCCGGAAGGGTTTGCGGACTACCAGATGATGGGAGTCGGGTGATCGTAGCTCCCGAGACGGGCTCTATGAAGTACGGGTTACATGACATAGGCCGGTGCAAGGCCATGGATGATCGCATCAGAGAATGAGTGTAAAGACTGGTGAGGAGTGCCGAGTGAGCTTCGTGGGGACCGTGGTCCAGTACCTGTGCTAAGGGACGCCGAGAGGTGAACCCTTTTAATGAATTCCTAAATAATCATCAACGTGTCCACCGGCTTGTGAGTTCAAATAGCGCGCTCGACTCTCATTGGCGAGGAGCTATCACAGAGGGAGCCAACGTAGGGTGTACAATCTGATTGGAAGGTGTAGAACCATTCAAAATCTGTTTGGTCGTCATGGTCAACTTGAAACGGCTCAGTACAAACTGAGGGGTTTGTTGGGGGACCGTTTGGAGAAACAAAAGGGTGATTGGTGGAGAGTCGGGATAGTTCCAGAAAGGACGGAAAAAAATGGATCAAATGAGCGGACAGAAGGGGTTCGGGGCAGCGCCTGAACGGAGCAATTCCCTGGAGTGTTGAAGATGTGACGAAGTCCAAGATCACGCCTTAGCTCGGCTTCAACTCCTTTACACCTGCACGTGATCAATGAGTTCGATGAGATGAGTGGGTGCAAGTCAATGGGTGATCGCGTTAATCGTCGGTGTGTGAAGACCGACGACGAAACGACTTCGAGCTGAGGATCCTCGTGCCTGGAGCAGCGTAGGCAGGTGCTGCTCGTCTGGCTGCCCGTGCGCGTTGCGTGGCGACGCCTTCCAGCAAGCCGACCTCCGGAATCGGAAGCTGAATTGCGTGTCGCCGTGGCAACCTGCGTTAGGAAACAATGCCTGTTATTACCGCTGTGAAACTCCTCTTATCCTGAAGCCGTGAAAAATCTGATAGTTCCGCTATCCGTACTCCCAATCAATCAGCAGAAAATCCCTTTGTTCCAGTCACGCTTTAGTTTCTTTCCCCTTCTTGCTCCCGTTCACTGGAACAAACTCCCACTGCACGTAACATCATCTTCACTGACCTCCCTAAAAGCCCATCCTCCGTGCACGTGACCGCAGCTACGACCAGCCGTACCACAACCCCTCCTTAACTACTCTCGCCTGTTCTCCTGTCACCATAACTACACCACCACTTTTTTTTAACCCCACTCTTTATCTCAATCTCTATCATATTATGTACAATTCTGTAATTGCTGTAAAGCACCTTAGAAAAAGGCGCGATATTAATTTATATAGGATAAGATGTTGTACCTGTACAAGGGGAGTCCCTCAGAAGTAACAGAACGTTCAATCTCCTGTACTGGTATCTGCATTAATCCATGGTTAACTGTGTATAATAATTGGCTGTGACTGTAATTTTGAATTATACAATAACTCAATGCATTATTTAACAACAATGCGGCCTTAAAATATAAAATATATAGCCGGTGACGTTTCGGCAAATGTTCCTTCTTCATCGCTCTCTTATGTGCTATACAGAAGGGCCATTGCCTGAAACGTCGCCGATTCTATATGTCGTTGATGAATGTTCGCTTTGTTGGTTGTGCGTGTGCACCACAGTAAAAGTAACATCACCAACTTGCATTTGAAAGTTATTTTTGTCTTCTCTTTAAAATAAACTAAAAATGAAGATGCTTGATTTCTATGTAAAATATTTCGGAAAAAAAGGTCCCCTAATCTTGTTCCAACAGGCGGTCCCACTTCTCTGATGTCTGTACGTGGTTGCCTGGTTGAGGAGTCGGGCAGTGTTTACTCGCTCAACTGCTCGGGCTGACAACTAAGGCGCCCCTACTGCACGTGTATGGCCCTCATCACTTGCGAATTCTACCTGAGTTGGAGTCCGGGAAGGCCAAGTAGCAGACGTTCATTTTCTGCGTCAGATACAAGATGATCGCACGTGTTCTTAAAAAAAATACTGTGCTGCGGAATGGATAATAGTGGTATAAATATAAAAGGAATGGTGTAAGCTTATAACAAATGCACCCCACCTCTTTTTCCGTGAGTTTGGCATGTGGTGGATAGATGAGCTGAAAAGAGGAAAATGTAATTAAGATAGTAAAGCTTACGAAAAGGTTTCGTTTCAATATATATAGAGATAAATAGAATCACCGTATTAACCATTGGAAACCCCTTCATGTGTAACACACTTGATGCTGTTTACACACATCACATTTAAAACAACATTATTAAGTTACACTAAAATATGCATTCGGAAGAAAGCATGACAACTCCCAAGCTAACAGTGAGCCTATGGACACCCCTCCCTTGAGAGTTTCATTGATGAGTGGTGATTAAGGTGATGCCGGATGTTGTAATCACTGTGTGAGCGTGTGCGATGCGAGTGTCATTCATCATGTTCATGGCACAGACAACACTGACAACACAGGTGAGAGCTGCAACTGTCATTTTGAATGTGAAAGTAGTAACGGTGTGTCAATAATTGTGGTGGCGATGATGGTGATTACTCGTCATAAAAATGGCAATAACAATAATAACACAGGTGATCGGTGCAATGGCAACGGTGAATTAAGTGAACGGCGTTTGGGACAGTGATATAATCATGAAGATGATCATACCAATAATAATGATGATAACGGAGATGATTGTTGCAAAAGTGAAGATAACAGTGGTGATACAGTAGTTGTGTATCAACTATGATGATGCATAACCGATGGCCGGTGATGGTTTAGTTAGTAATGATGATGAAAATAGTGGTGACGGTGCATCAGTTATTCTCGTGGTGATGTTGTACCAATAATTATGATGGTGAAAGTATGTATGTTGAACTTCTTTCGGAGGTGCGGGGGAAGGACAACAAACCCGTTCTAAGCAAATGAAGTCGGCTCGTAGTAATTGTTTCAACGTTTCGATGATGATAGTGATGACGGTACACCAACGGCAATGATTATGAGACGAATAGTGTGTGTCCATGATGGTGGTGGTGGCACTCTCCTCCTCACCTCTATGGCTTGCCCGAGCTCCAGGTCAAACGTCACCACGCAGATGCTATGTAGCCACGACGTGAATCTCTCCCACGGCCAGGGGCTGGGCTGCGAGCCCTCGATGCCCTCGGGGCTACACGGGCGCCCCCCGGGCACTGAGAAGCGTGTCTCGCAGGCGCCCTGGGGGCTCCCGGCGCGCCCTGCCTCCTCGCTGGACAGCTCCCAGGTGCTGAAGTTACGCAGGCGGGCCATGGCGCACACGCTCGCCTACAAGCACGTGTAGTGCTCGAGTAATGATAGCCTACTGGCTCTCTACAACTACACCACTACTACTCCAGCACTGGTAGTGCTGGAGTAATGATAGCCTACTGGGTCTCTACAACTACACCACTACTACTCCAGCACTGGTAGTGCTACAGTAATGATAGCCTACTGGCTCTCTACAACTACACCACTACTACTCCAGCACTGGTAGTGCTACAGCAATGGCAGACTGACGGCTCACTAATAACTGCCACTGCAACAACTACTCCAGTGCTATGGCTATAGATGTATGTAAATAATAATTATTATGCTACATTGGAGACTCGCTGATCTACTACTGCTGCATGGTTAACCACTGTAATATTATTGATGATAATGAAGACGATGAATAATGAAGCTAATTTATAGGCGATATAACATGATCAGATATGTATTGTCACAATATTATAAATTATTATCAGCTGATCACTGTAACTATAATAATCCGATTATTGTTATCAATAGTGGCACAATCCGATAATGAATATAATAAGTATTGTAATATGACCGCGACTACTGTATGTCATGACCTTTCGCTGACGCCTATTGAAATAATGAGGATAACGACGCTGTCACGATCACTGCTGCTCCTATACAATTACAGTGACTCGTCAGCTCACCGCTTGCTATTAACACAGCGATGTGGCGTCACCATGCCGCACCTAAAGACGGGCTTCAACGCTGTCCCCTGCCATCGCAGATCGAAGCCTCGCTTGTCGCATTCGTTTAAATAGGAGCACGCAGACTATACGTATTACAACACTCCGCACCACTCGTTGTCGTAACGTTAATCATAATAATAATAAAGCAACGTTTTAAAACGACGAAGCTATAAATAGCCGCTAAAAATAGAACGCGTGTTGCTGTTATTCGTTCCAGCCCATAGCTGAAGCGATATTCCTTTTGAACGATGTTAACAAAAGCAATGGTGAAGATAAGAACAAAATAATAATGACTTACAACGACGACAACGCGTTACTAGTAAGACGATGTTAAACGAAGACGAGCGAGCGAGTTAGCGATGAGGAGCGAGGAGGAGGGATGGTGGCTTGACGGCCGAGAGGAGGATGAGAAGATCTGTGATGTTGTCGTTGCAGTGGCCTGGGCAAGTCGGGGACGCAGGGTGTGGGAGACGCGAGGCTTGCGAGTGGCTGAGACGGGGGCACAGCGCCACGCAACGGTGGTGAGAATGAGTGCCGCACTCTGCAACAAGACAACTCTTTATTTATTTTAATCAGAGTCGAAACTGTCGCCGTCCTGCGTGCGCTGCAACTGTCATATAAACAACACACGCGTCAGTGAGGCTGCGTTGGCAGTGGTGCAACAGTACAAATAATGCAGCAGCAACAACAAAAACATCCTTCAACACGATTCAAAGCGTTCGTGACTGCAAGGATTCATCTTCTTTGGTTCTTTCGGTAAAGTCACGTAGAATGAGAATAAAATAATAAAATAAAACAATACAATTCTCACGACGTTTCGGCCACGACACAAGTGGGCCGACAGGTTTATTCCTTTCACCTGAAGAAGGCCACTTGTATTCTTAGCTCTTTCGGTAAAGTCACGTTGAAGGGAAACAATAAAATAATAATAAAATATTGTTATATATATTTGATTATTTTATTGTTTCCCTTCAACGTGACTTTACCGAAAGAGCTAAGAATATGAATTACTGCAGTCACGAAAGCTTTAAATCAAAATTTAAAGGCCACTTGTGTTGTGGCCGAAACGTCGTGAGAATGTTATTGTTTTATTTTATTATTTTATTCTCATTCTACGTGACTTTACCGAAAGAACCAAAGAAGATGAATCCTTCAACACGTTCGACAATAACACTGTGGCCTTACGAGTAAAAATAGGCAACGTTAGGGAGAAGGGTCATTACCTGAAACGTCACTGATTATAATTATATATCAAAGTGCATGCACACACATGCACAGCTAGACACGAATACACTGCATGCAATGCACACCCCAATGACACGCCATAAGACATTTGCATAGAAAATGTCTCATGTCCTAATGCATATTGCTTGCATATTAATACAGTATGCCCAATTGCATTGCATGCAAGTTATATGCGTGCACTGTGAATGCACAAAGCTACACAATTACACTGCATGTAATGCACTCGCCCCAACTGGAGATATCTGTGAAAAAGAGCTTCATAACTCATTGGATTCCTCCAGTATAAATACTGTATTCTGATATACTATAATGTGGATACAGATCATTATTACACGACACGCACACATAGGTCCTAAACGTCAAACGAGCAGCAACAAAAAGCACTTTGAAGGTTTTAATAAAGTAAACTCGTCTTTTTAAAGAGCTTGTGGAAAGTGACGATGCAATGTTTACACTGAGAGAGACTGCACGAGACTCAAGCGATCAGCCATCGACAGACACGACCATTGTTCATCTGGGCCATGCTCAAGACACACAAGAGCCAATAAGAGAGCAGCTGAGCCATGTCCACTACTAACCCGCCCAAACTCCACATGTGTGAACAAGAGCTTCATAGCTCATCGGATTCCTCCAGTCTAAATTTAAGGCGAAAACTATTTTCACCTTTATTTTAAGGTGAAATGTAGACTGGAGGAATCCGTCTAAATACAGATTCTGATTCTCACACGCACAAGGAGCCAATGAGATGTCAGCTGATCCACGCCTACTACACAGAGTAGCCAATGAGAGAACAACCAGGTTATACCCGAACACACAAGAAGCCAATAGAGATCAGCTGGGCCACACCACAATACATAAGGAGCCAATTAGATCAGCTGGGCCATGCGCTTACACACAAGGAGCCAATGAGAGTTCGGCTGGACGACACTCACGAGAAACAAGAAGCAATAATAGATCAGGCCACACCCACCACACACACATGAGCCAATGAAAGGTCAGCTGAGCGACGTCCATTATACACTATGAGCTAATGAGAGATCAGCTGGACCACTTCCAGAACACAGACGAGAGCCAATGAGCTATTCGCTGACCACGCCCACTACACACAAGAAGCCAATGAGAATTCAGCTGTGGGACGCTCATTATACACATGGGAGCCAATGAGCAATCAGCTGGTACTACATCCACTCCATGCAAGGAGTCAATGAGAGAGCAGCTAGACCACGCCCACTATACACAAGGAGCCAATGAGAGTTCACCTGGGCCATGTCCACTACACAAAATGAACCTATGAGCAATTAGCTGAACCACGCCCACTACGCACATGGGAGCCAATGAGCAATCAGCTGGTACTACATCCACTCCATGCAAGGAGTCAATGAGAGAGCAGCTAGACTACACCCACTACACACAAGGAGTCAATGAGAGATCAGATGTACCATGCCCACTACACACCGCAGCCAATGAGCGGTCAACTGGTCTACATCCACTACACACAAGGAGCCAATGGACAAAACCGTGTACAATAACAAAATTCGGGACCTACTTAATGATGGTAGCTACAGAAAAATTAAAAGAGATCTCACCAACAGCCTCGTTACAAAAACGGACAGTATCATCACGGATTCAGCTTCATTAATTGAACAGAACAAACGGTTTTCCTTAAAACCTTCTGCTGCTAGACCACCTAGATTATATGGCTTACTAAAAATCCATAAAGAAGGTACACCCCTTCGTCCCATCATCTCCACCATTGGCTCACCCACTTATAAACTGGCTTGATATCTGTCTGAGACCTTGCAGCCATTCACTGCTAAGACCACCTCTTCTGTACTTAACTCAGCTCACCTGGAATCGTCAATAAAAGACATCTCACTGTCCACAGGTGATTTGTTCGTTAGTTTCAATGTGGTTTCTTTGTTCATTAAAGTTCCTGTACCCGATACCATTGCAATCATTGAAGATTTGATCCAACAAGGATTGAATGCTGATGTACTGGCCCTGCTAAGACACTGTCTCACCAATACATACTTCACCTGGAATGGAACATTCTACAAACACACCGAAGGCACCCCAATGGCATCTCCCTTATCTCCGGTTGTAGCCAATATTTTCATGGAAATATTTGTGACGGACGCCATCCATGCATCTACTGTATGCCCGTCCTTGTGGAAGAGATATGTGGATGACACGTTTGTCATCTGGCCATATGGCCGACCGGCTCTGAACCAATTCCTCAACCACACCAATTCCATTCACCCAGCCATCAAATTCACCATGGAGGTAGAAAAGGATGGCATGCTACCTTTCTTGGATGTCCTAATCAAAAAGAGACCAAATGGCTCAATGAGCAATTATGTCTACAGGAAAATAGCCCATACTGACGCCTACCTAAAACCTGATTCCCACCATCATCCATCCCAGAAGAATTCCCTCATCAAAACGCTACACCATAGAGCTCAATGTATCTCCGACCATGAACACCTAACCAGTGAACTGAAACACCAAGCTCTCAAGGTGAATGGATATTCTGACGACACAATCCGCAAAGCCATCACCCCAACCGTGAGGAAGGAGCCACCTGAGGATCCAATCAAAACCATCACCTTGGCATACATAGCAGGGGTAACCAAAAACATTTCCAAAATCTTGAACAAATACAAGATCCAGGTCTGATTTAACACAGTACTGTACGTAAAATTTGTGATCTGATTCCATCTGTGAAGGACAAGATTCCTGACATGCATATCTCGGCGCCTACAAACTAAGCTGTATCTGCGGCAGCAGTTACATTGGGAAAACTAAACGACATGTCTCGGACTGTGTTCGTGAGCATAAGGCAGATTTGAAACACGGTAGGACCAATACTTCTGCTGTGGCTGATCATTATTTTAATGCGGCTGGCTCACACGAAATTTTTTTCTCTAAGACGATGGTACATTGCAAGCCTACTGGCTATCAACAAAGATTCGTTCATGAAGCCATCCATATATACAGACACAGACACAATTTCAACTGAAGATGGTTATAAACTCAGCAATCATTGGAAATATGTCAATCACTTTGAGTCATGGCTTGATTTGTGTTTTTTGTCAACCTCCACCATCAGCAGTGTGTGTATGTGGAGCGAGGTGCAATGATTGCCTGGCGGCCCTTTGATTTATTGTAGACCTGCTGCGTTGGCGTTGCTTTTCTCCTACATTAAAATTAGCTGCCCCGCCCATACTGCTGACACACTTGGGCTACGCCCATCTCTAAACCTTTAGAAACAGTTTGCCTTTAGAGGATAACGTTTCGACTGCTTGTGTTGCGATCGAAATGTCGTGGTTTAAAAAAATAATTATAGACTGCCAGTACGCTCACTCAAGTTAATAACCAGACTACAGTCTACATCATAGATGGCCAATACGCTCACCAGCTAAAAAAACAGGCTACAGTCTACGTTATAGACTGCCAGTACACTCACCAAACTTAATAACCAGGCTACAGTCTGCATTATAGACTACCAGTACACTCACTCTGATTAAGAATCAGGCTACAGTCTACATTAGGGTTTTTAGTTCTTTATTATTCTATATATATTTTTAAATATATAAAAAATTTACTTAATTTTTATTATTATTTTTCTATCTATGTGACTTCACCGAAAGAACCAAAGAATATGAATTCCTGTTGTTACGAAAGTTTTAAGTCGAAATTTGAGCCAATGAGAGTTCAGCTGAACCACGTCCACTACACAGACAGGAGCCAATGAGCGATTAGCGGACCACGCTCACTACACACAAGGAGCCAATGAGAGTTCAGTGGGTCCACTTTCACTTTACACAGGGTGCCAATGAGCGATTAGCTGACCACGCTCAGTACACACAAGGAGCCAATGAGAGTTCAGTGGGTCCACTTTCACTATACACAGGGAGCCAATGAGTGATTAGCTGACGATGCTCACTACACACAAGGAGCCAATGATAGTTCAGCTCGTCCCTGCTTACTACACATAAGGAGCCAATGAGTGATCAGCTGGTACACATCCACTACACACAAGGCGCGAATGAGATATCAGATGGACCATGCTCACTGCACACACAGAAGCCAATGAACGATCAGCTGGCTCATGCCCACTACACAGAAGGAGCCAATGAGCGATCAAGCTAGTCTACATCCACTACACACAAGGAGCAAATAGGAGATCAGCTGGTTTACATCCACTTCACACAAGAAGCCAATGAGCGATTAGCTGCACGACGCTCACTACACACACGGGAACCAATGAGCGATCAGTTGGGCCATGCCCACTACATACAAGGAGCCAATGAGAGATCAGCTGGTTTACATCCACTACACACAACGAGCCAATGAGCGATCAGCTGACCTACATCCACTAGACACCAGGAGCCAATTAGCGATTAGCTGAACTATGCTCACTACACACAATGAGCCAATGAGCGATCAGTTGGTCTAAAACTCGACATCCACTTCACACACACACGCACACCGGAGCCAATGAGCGTTCAGCTGCACCACGCCCCACCACTAGACACGCGCGAGGGAGCCGAGGAGAGGCGAACCATTGACCCCGCCTCCTTGACGCGCGTGAGCCAATGAGAAGTTGAGCCGGGCCACGCTCGCTCCGCGCGCGGGCGGCCAATGGGAGCGCGGCTCGGAGTCTATATAAAGCAGCAGCGGCGGCAGTGCGTGACGCATTTAAGGCGGCGGAGGAGGAGTTGGAGGTGGTGTTGGTGCCGTGCCGAGGTTCGTCAATGCGCACAACAGCAGCAGCAGCAACCCGGCATCGTCGGTGGCGTGCAGCAGGTAAGTGAGTGAGCCACAGTTGCGCTCTCGTTTAGTGGTGTAGCCGCAGTTGTAGCGGTGGCAACAGCAGCAGCGGCAGCAATAGAGAGGGTGAGGCGACAGGAGCAGTCGGTGCGCGTGTACACGCTCATTCATTCACTCGCCCCGCAAAGCGCTCACTTGCAGGGGTGGTGGTGGTGGTGTGGGATGGGAGAGAGAGAGAGTTGTGTGGGTGCTGAAGCAGTGACAGCAGCGGCGGTGTCCGTGACGGCGGCGATGTTGACGGTGATCACAGCAGTAGAGAAAGCAGTATCATCATCATCAGTAGTAGCAGTAGTGAGAGAGGTGTTAGCAAGTGGTTGACGTGTCTAGCAGTAGTCGGGGGTGACTGCGACAGCGATATTGCAGCAGTTCGGGGTTACCCTCGTTGACAGCGGCAGGAAGGAGTAAGAAACAGCAGAAGTACTTATTGGCTTGCACTGTGTGTCAACACGTAAAGTTTATTTTAAACATCTGTGACACCTTCCGTGGTATGTTTGTACGCGCGCGCGTGTGCTAAAGCCGTAACAGTGGTGTTAACTTTTGATTTAAAGCTTTCGTGACTGCAGGGATTCATATTCTTGGTTCTTTCGGTAAAGTCATGTTAGAAGGGAAATAATAAAATAATAAAAAAATGTTAAACAATAAAATTCTCACCGTGTTAACTTTACGTAATAACTGCTGTGGTGTATACGATTGAGTTGCGGTATTTAAAAAAAAATGAAAAATTAAACACTTGCACGTTCATATATTTACAGTCCTGCGCAAAGTTTACACGAATATATTTGTACATACTTTATACGCGCATGTGTAAACAAACGTAGCACGTAACAGTATAATACATGAATTTTACTCTCAGTTATTATACACGTACAGGAAAACGTTCCACGTTTGTGGCTGGTGTAGTTACACACTTTAGTTCAACATTAATTCTAAACATTGGTTGTTGTTATGTTTTAATCACCGATTCGGAACGTTATAACCTACCGTTTCTCGCGAGTATTTTTAAAGTGTGTGTGTGAATGCCTATCGCCACTGCAGTGTAACCTGTATATCGCCACAATATACGTGCAAATACGTAACATTTGGCTACCAATGTATTGTCATCTCTACGTGACATGTCGGCACACTGCAGTTACACGAGGTGTGCACTAGTAGTAGAAAGATTACTCCTTTAAACAAGTACACGAAGTTACGGCGCTTGCCTCCAGTGCTGGACACTTTATTGCTTCCATCAGAAGCGCACTGATGCATTGGAACAATGTTACAGATTAAAGAGAGACCGATTAAAAATAAGGAGCAGAGCGTTACCATACGACTCTTTATTGGTTGGGTGTGCGGGGTGGGGGGGGGGAGTTTTGCTGGCTGGATTCCTGGCTGCCTGGCTGGATTCATGACGATGCCACAACCATTGACCAGAATTTTTTTTTTAAAGCTGAGGATTTGGATTGTGAGTCGAAAGTTCCCACCACCCAGCCTCATTTACTGCCTCACGCTTCCACTTATTACATTTTTAGTCCATTTAGTAAATTGTTTTTTTACACGTATTTATAATATTATTTTTTATGCTGAGTGTCTGTTGCTGCTGCTGTGTCATGTGTATATGCATGTAATTATTATGATGTACGTACATTGCATGCAGTGGAGTTGTATACATACAGGGTGATCCGTGTATAGATACCCCCCACTATAATAACAGGGATACATTACAGACAAAACGGCACTATTTCCAAGCCTCAACGTGTCTTCCACCAATCTCATTCCACTCGTTAATATGATTTAAGCCATCGCCTTCACAATTTCAGTCGCCTGTTAAATGGGAGACGTTCATAAATCAGTGGTGTGTCTATTCGTGGAGCACCCTGCACATGTCGAATATTTGTGTAGTACTTCACATGCCGTGGTTCTAGGGCTGCTCCGAGCGAATTGGGTATCTCCACTACATGTGGATTGTTATCCATTCACTGGGACATTGGCATTTTTCCAAAGACATATTATCAGCCGTGTGTGTTTGTACTAATTATTAATACACACTTCTACAATGTCGGCAGAATGGAACGTTTTAACATGGGGCTGCATATTACGCGAGAGTTCAAATGATCAATTTGTATCCTGCATTATTATAAGGGTACGCAATCTGAGAAATAAACAAAAATATTCGGCAGTCGGTTCCTCCGGAAAGAGTCTTGAGACTGAAGCTTTCCCGGATATAGAGAGGGCAGAATTATTACAGGGGATGAAATGCTGTGAGAACACTTCACGTTCTGCTGTGAATTGAAAATGCAGATATTCACATAACGCGTTTTCACTCTCTGGACAAATGCCCATGATGTCTTTTGAGACTTAAAGTGTGTCGTGGTTTACCCGATAATACATTTTCATATTGTGACGCTGCATTGGCAACAATACTGCCTTAACAGGAAAGGAAAAAAATATATACAATAGGCCAATTCGAGACGTTTCGGGCAATGACCCTTCATGAAGAAGTGCAATTGCGTGCGAAGAATAAAGGAAATTGTGTGCCCCCTTTTTGCCCTTCTTAATACAAAATGATACAAGTCATTTTGCCTTTCAAGGCCCCGGGCATGTGTTGTTGACGATCGTGTTGTTGACGATTGTGTTGAGTTTTTGTTTTGATGTCATTGGTCTCTTAATACGACGAACACGTACGATGCCGTTCGCCTTCTATAACAGTCAAAATGCCTCAACGCGGAGTGTAACCCTGCCAGCGGCGTCCAGCCTCGAGCCTGCTGCCTGCTCCGCAAGTGATTGGTTTTCTGGTTGGCACTGGCCCCTTATCGAAGGAAACTTATGTAGTAGTTAGTAGTAAGGCACTTGCCGACACGAGCGCTTGAACACGGGCGCACGCGGTTCACCTTGTGACCTACAATGCCAGGCAGCAATTCGCACTGTAGCACCACTATTGGTCACGCACCTGCACCCTGTGAATATTGCTGCCAGTACGCTGTGGTGCAAATACCAAAGTAGCACGAGCCAACGTTCCTCCCAAGCTATGGCCGAGAGGGTTAATGTAGCTGAAATAATTAACTCGTGGCAATGTCGCAGTATCCTCTCAATCATTTCACAAATGTGCCTCCATGTCAAGTTTGTGGTTTCTATATCTCTGCCAACTCTTTTCATAATCACATTGATACGGATAGCGTCTTGTGAAATGATATATAGTATCATAGTTATTCAGTTTGCAGTGGAGATTTATTATGGTCAAAGGCTCGTCTGAATAACTAACCATAGTCACGTGAACAATTATACCGTTCAGTGTCAACCATTATTCCCAATTACCCCGGTTAACTGGATCACGGGGCACTTACACATCAATTTCTCAATTGGTTAACGTGTGGAAGATGGACTGTGCCTGATCCAGAGTCGTCGTTCACCCATGCACGATGCACCCAGTGCAGTCATTTCAGAGTTGGCGTCACGCTTGCCATGCGTCACGGGCACGTGTACGGCCCTTTGATTATCCGCTGCTGGATGAGGGCCTCCCCTCGCTGTGCGTTTCTTGGGGGCTATTTGACCACACTTCTTCATGCTGGTCAGTGCGGGTTGGTGCAGTGGTAGCATAGAGTACGGTATAACAGTGGATTTTTCCGCACTACCCTCTCTGTGCTCACCATGTAGCCCCCACAGCATGCTGATAGTCTGCCATCAGTCTGCTGTCAGCGTGAGATGTTATCTCCTTCGCCTAGCATGCAGGAGGTCGGGAGTTCTATCTAGACCCTGACGCCTGTGGTCGTGTGGATTTTTTTCTCCGGATCCTCCAGTTTTTCCTTCCACGTGTAGAAACATGCATTTAGCTTATTTAGATTACTTAAATTATTTTGCCGCTATACATTTCCACATGATAAGCAACTTTGTTGAGCTATTATTTGTGGCCAGGTCGCTTCTGAAAAAGAAGCTAATACCTCAGAGGGGTTTACCTGGTAAGATAAATCAATCTTTTATTTGTATATTTTATCAAGTGGCTTGTTTACTCTTATTGTTTTTGTATTGTTTGTTGTTGTCACGTTCTGACCTTGCCCCATCTGTGAAAAATTGCCGTATAGCTCATCGGATTCTTCCAGTATAAATATTCTGATTCTGCATGTTTGGTGGCACAACCCAGCACTATCCAGGCCCAACGTTGCTTCGCTTCTGACATCTGACGAGATTGGGCACATTCCAGGTGTTTTGGCCATCTAATAATAGCCTTGAGTAATTGATCCCAGAATGTAACCTCTTAATATTCTGTACCTGCAGTCATCACTACCAAACATAGTTGAAGGGGTTAATTTTAATCTGCAACATTCAATTATCGTTTCAAAACATCACAATAATAAATCAGATTCAGTATCAGAGTTTTCCCTGTGACAGGCAGCAGGATTATTGAAAAATGTAATTCCTCATTGCCTTTTGATTTATGATTAGTTTCTACTTTCCTTTTGCAACGGCTGCCCAATTAATTTAGTCAATGGCTCAGGTGTTTGGAAGTCGATTGTTATTCCACTGAACTCTCCGGGAAATTGTCTTGTGAGCCAATCGACCCGCAATGCTGCTGGGCAGGTTCTGCATACTTATTGCATCGTTAGGATGGAAACGCATCATAGATCTTCTTGCCACACGGTTTTGGCGTGAGATTTGATGGCCATCGCAAGCAAAGTGCAGATCAACCAAGGCAGCTCCCATTACTCAACGCTTGTACCAGTTGACCGCTGTCCCACCTGAATGAGCAAGTTTGCTGTTCATATTGTTTAGAAACGCCAGTGGCGGTGCTCGTATATAACAGAGCATTAAGGCTTTGTGGTTGTGCCTTTTAAGGCTGCAGTTGTGTGCTTGGATAATGCACACGCACACACACATATATATTAGTTTAATCCTGGTCGCCACCATAATCTAGCGTTATGCTGCCCACACATGACTGAAGTGCCATGCCAGGTTTAATAAACGAATGCTTAACAGTACCTGTTCTGACAATCTGTATGGAAAAACGGTACTTTAGCAATTGTGTTTGCGCCCGTGTTTGTGTGTGTGTGTCGATTCAGCCTCAAATGAGTACCTGGTGCGGTGGATAAAAACATCGCCACTGGGGAGACAAAGGCGGTCGGGCGTGGTGCTGGCCACCCACCCCCTCGTGTACCCTTCCGGCCTTCATAGGTGCTCACTAACGGCACTTTCCCCTACAGTCTGTTAAGGCTATATACGGGGGAGCTTTGTCTTTATCTTTGTGTGTGTCTGTGCGTGTGTGGTACAGCCCTCTGTTCCGGTTGAAACCTGAGCTCTGTGAAGCACGAGGGGTTCGTGGTCTGCCGACCGGGCGCAAGCCGACCAACTGACCGCCCGCCCGACCCGCAAATGCCGGGCTCTACACCAGAAGGCTACATTCCAGCTGGTACCGTGCAGTTGCCCGCATATGCTTGTTCTGCCAAGGAAATTCTGAACGAGGCAGGGTGGAACAGGCATTTTGCTCGACTTGCAACACAAAGCACTGACGGTATAGGTCGTAGTCTGCAGAATTTATTTTTAGCATGGGGAGGTTGGCAGCCCATTTGGAAATAGTTACACATTTCTCAAACATAATAACAATTTGTCTCAGTTGCGCATGTCTTTAACGTGTGAACGTTTGGCACCCTACTGCACAGGTGCCCCATGGTCGTAGCGAAAGCGCGATCGCGCTTTTGGTCACACCAGTTTGAAAAAAACGCGGTGGAACGATAGCGCGTGCGAACGCCTTTCGTCAGGGTTCCAAGGCAATGCACTTCGCTTCCACGCATCGTGTTCCTGATGCAGCGGCGTACCAAGGTGGCGACATGACATTGAGAAGGCAGCGCGTGCCGGAGCACATCCGGATGCGCACGAGGGAGTTCGGCGAGCGGGATCTTCTTGCGATGGAATTATCGCGCTGATGCGCAGATTCTACCTCCCACCTCGTCGTGCCTGGTGCGGACCCTGTACTGTTTGACGCTCCCGTGGACGGACGGTTTCTGCTCTCCGGTCGAAACTTGGTGCTTCCCGTTATTTGCACTGCCTACCGCTTTGCGGGCACTCTCCGTTGGCGCGCGGAGGAACTTTGCGAACGCGTGAGCTTTGGACGCTAACGGTCTGTTCGTGTTAGTTTTTTTTTCCTCTCTTCCCCAAGTGCCTAAGTGAGCCGTCGCCCACGGCGAGCGAGTGCTGGCTCCGCTGGTGGTTACAAAGAAAGTCTTGGGTTAATCCTGAAACCGCGCGTCCGTCAATACACATTCTGGTGCAGTACTTACAACAAAAATACTGCCTGCATATCAGTGTTGAGAGGGGGGGGGGGGGGGGGGGGGAAGGGCCCCGTTTTTTAAAATATAAACAAAAACGCAATCCTGAGGCTCCTTGATAAAGTGCTCAATTGTGGGAATCGCTTCTGTAGCTCTATTGCACAAGACCCATCAAAGCATATCGCTAAAGGTTACTTTTCACTCTCCATTTAACAAGAAAGATCATACCATCGCAAGACAGGTTTAAAGTTCTATCGATAAAAACAACCTTATCAAAAAAAATAAACGATCACTGTGATATAACAAAACAACACCCAAGAGAGAAAAAAAAAACCGTCCTGCAGCTTCAAGTGCCTGTTTGGAGCCTTTGCTACAGTAACGTCGATCACGTGGTTCAGGATTTTATCAACTCCATCTGGCTGGGATGAGCATGCGCTGACAATACCAACACACTGCTCAAGTGAGTGCCCACTGTGCCAAGAATAACTTGGAGAGGCAATCGCGTAGGATTTATCAACTCCTCTCGTAGGGAATCCTACGTATTGTAGAGGCCGACGAACGGACGTGACTTTCATCTTGCACGACGTCCTAGCGGCATCGCAAAGCTTTGCGTGATCGTGGCCTCTACCGCCGTTCAAGAGTTGCCGCCGAATCGACGAAACACCCACGCGACGAACCTTTTGAAGCCGAGCGTTTTGTATTTTTATTGAGCGCGCCGGCTGAACTGCACCCACCAAGTGCCTTCTTGCCTTATCAACCCGGCGCAGCTCTCTTCACTGGCACGACGTCGGCCTGACGAACCGGAGCGGCCCTGACTTTGAGCGCAGTGCTTCCCCCGACGGCTCGGCGGTTAGCGTCGGGGACGACGGGGCGTTGGTGGGGTGGAACTGCGGGCGGCCGGGCGGGTGCACGCACGGTGGAGGAGGGGAGCCATGCCGTGGCCGCAAGCCGTGCTGTCGTCGCGGCCGGACTCCCACGCCTTCCAGGAGCGGCGCCTGTGCCTGGCGGAGGCCGTGAGGGTCGGACGCTCGGTGGCGCGGTGTCGCGCGGCCACCAACAACGCGACCTTTGACTGCAAGGTGTTGTCCCGCCACCACGCGCGCCTGTGGTACAGCGACGGCAAGGTGAGCTGCTCGCGTGCGCACAATCCCAGACGAATCCTGCATTGCCTCCAGCTGGCTGATCAATGCCTATGTGCAGCCCAGTACTGTGCCACTTTGTGCCACATAGGGACAGCTAAGGCTGCAGCAGGTTCAGTAGAATGGTTGGGATGAGATGTGATGTTTTAAGATGCTGAGGCTTTTAAGAAAGTGCCCTATACATGCAAATGCGTATTGTTATCCTCCTGTTACCCAATCACTGCACTAAAAAAACTCGCATTCCATTCGGTTCTGCATTTGCTTTGGCTAAATTCCAACTCTGAGAATTAAAGTACCAGTGTGATTCTCATGCAGTTAACATTGCTCTCAGTGGCAGAGCGGGTGGGAGAGTGATTTCCCCTGCTGTGTGGACCCAATGCTACTTGAAGAATTTCAGAGGTTGTTCTGCGTCATCCGCTTCTGTGGGACATTCTCGCATTTCTCTGAGAAATCTCAATGGGTGCTTTACACATGGCATGGCAATGATTGTACGATCAGGATAAAATTAAATAAACAAGCACCTCCAGTCCCACCCACTGTAATGGCCAATGCTGTTATCGAGCATCTACTGTTTTTAATTATTTCTTAAAATATTATTCCTGGATAATCCCATGAGAAGGAACTTATCATTTCCCAGGGCGTTCACTGTGCCAAGTGACACGTACATAGCAAGTATGGTACACGAGGGGGTGCTGTGGCCAGCACTGCACCTGGCTGCATTTGTCTCTCCAGTAGAAGACGTTTACACACTGCACCAGGTGCAAGTTTAAGGCTGAGTTGACCTAGGGAAGGCCCAGTACCGTTTCAGATACCAATTATATTATCAACTGTATTGCCTATGGCAGGAAATTGAACCCTGGTCACCAGAATTGTGTGGTTAGGTCCGTGCACTAAACACTACACCACCCCTGCACGCACAACGACGCACAGACACGCGCACAGCCGCACATTCTGGAGATGCCACCATTGACGTTTTTCACACGTGTGTTGGCGGTGCATGCCTCTAATGGCTTTGACGTAGGGCTCGTTAACACTGGCATTGGCATGCTTGTGAGACACCCACCTACTAGGTAAGAGGACACTACCCGTGTACAATAAAGTGGGGTGTTGCTTGGATATCCAGTATAGCAATGTTTCGGCATTATCTCCTTCTATGTATGTATGGGCATTATCTCCGTCTATGTATGTATGGGCATTATCTCCTATGTATGAATAACTTATTTTGCACTGTACTTGGCCAACTTTGCTAACCGGAGGTGCGGGCGAAGGACAACAAACTAAACACAAAAAGCAGTTCTAAAGAAATGAGTTTTCAATGTTACACATGTAGGTCCATTCCCGAGACTTGTTTTCCTCCTGCAAAAATATCTCAAGATGGAAAAGGACAAACGTCCCCAACAAGGTTGTCTTGAAAAGCAGTGTGTGGGGTCAGTGATATTGTTTTGACATTTTGATGTTCGTATTTTATTTTTTATTACACACTTATTCAATATATACCCAGTTATCGATAACATATTAAATACACCAATGACTGAAGATTTACTAAATTAGTTGACGAAATAATTTGTCAAAAATCAGACGTATATATAAAAAAATATCAAACCCTCGAAACATATCATGCGATGGATAACACATTTAACATTCATCATATTGTATCGGTGCATGGACGCAGTAAATAATACACCTCGGTTATCGTGCAAGCCAAGTAGAGAGCATGTTTGCGGGCACAGAATCCTTGTATGACTCGGCACCGTAACAAAGCTGCTTTATAGTGTTGGTACACAGATCTGCGTGGGTTTGAATGTCCATTTCATTCATTGTCACAAATGCCCTGCTGACACCTGTAGTCGCATAATCATTCTTCTAGTTACGACATTCAGAATGTCATCTGGCATTTATTAGCCTTGGGTGTCCTTAGGATTGCCATTCGCCGTCCCCACCATAACGCGAGAATAATGAGATTCCGCATGTATTGCATTTATGCGCTTATTACACGGCTCCTTATCTATTTTTAGCAGCGGGAAACTGGGTTGTTGGAGGTGTTATCATCTCCGATGAGTCATCCTCCTAACAGATTCTCTTTTCCCCCCGATGACCGACCGCCGCGCGCTTTGCTTGTGGAGGTGTTTAAAACTCGGGTTGTACCCCGAGGACAATGAGTATCCATATGGTGCCTTGGCGCTGCTGAATTATTCCAGTGTGAAAGCATGGGGCGGCGGGTGGGTGCTGTGGAAGAATATGGGTAGGACGAGAGTTTGGGATGTCACTGGTGTACGTTTTTCGATGACGGTTTAAAAACACCGCGTAGGCTTTTGCGGTTCCCCCTCCCCGCAGCTCTCCGCGTGTTGGTTCCCGCGATGACCGACGCTTCGCTCGTTCTGAACAACACGCGGCACGGCCCACAACATACGTCGCAGAGTTACGATTTAAAACAATCATTTACAGCTCTTTGTCAGTCTACTGCTGGTCGAATTCCTCCCTGCGCCATGTTGTTCCTGGGGGCTGATTGACCATACTTCGCCGCGCCGGTCAATGTAAAGGCAACTAAGTTGTATTTTTTTACTTAAAACTTTAGTGACACCTACGCGGTGTTTTTAAATCGTCGTTCTATCTACGTGATTTTACCGAAAGAACCAAAGAATAGACCATTTTATTTCTGTTTACACACGTGGAACCTTTCGGTCACAAATCTGCCGCTCAAGTTGCCATCACGTTTATACTCGACATAAAATTAAAACATTCTCAACAATGAGTGAGGCCGCTTCAGGTGTCGCTCGCCACTGATGTTAGCCGTCATCGATTTCACCGAGGTATACAGCGCAGGACACGGACCGCTGCGGTACCGGTGCCCCCTACGATTAAATATTTTAATATAATTCTAGACGTAAAAGCTGCAAAAAGAAAGTGGGTTTTTGTTCAGCATCGATGGAATTGGAGTGGAGGAAGTAAGTGAATCATTAAGTTAATTGTGCGTCCATCTGTGTGGAGATCATACAATGAATCAGACGGCAAAGTGTTTCAATCAAATGAGTACGAGTGCTGAATACAAACGCAGCTCATGTTTTTCCAGGACAATTTGCATCCGAGCCAGGCCTACGTTTGTGTGGTTAACATCAGCATTGGGGAGACAAAGGCAGCCAGGCACGACGTGTGATGTGCTGGCCTTAATGGGTGCTCACAAACAGCTTTTGGCTGTGACAAAGTCTATGCAGCCAAAGGAAACTACTAAACTATTAATAAAAATATATATTTTACCAGGTAAGGCTCACTGAGCTATATAGCTATTTTTCAGAAGCAACCTGGCCTCAAATCTTAGCTCAATGAAGTGACTTATTATCACGTGAACATTCATAGCAGCCAAATGCTCTCAGAGGAAACTTTGTTAATTAAAAGAAAATTAGATTTGTTTAACCAGGTGAAGACTCAATAAACTCATTTGAAAGAGTGACCGGAGTCGTGCGAATGAAAAAGAGGAATAAAAAGCAAAGGAAATCGATGCAAATAAAAACAAAATCGGAGCACGGCAACCGCGCTACAGAAGAAATAACAAATGCTGGACACCATTGCATAGCAATACAAAAAATTCAACAGAACGTCCTGTAATGTAATGCCGGCTCGGTCGAGAAAGTACTTTTAATACGTTAATAGTCAAATTAATTAAGCTCCAACGGGCTCCCTAATATATCGTAAGAAAGAGAGTTCCGCACGGCCGCAGAAGCGTATCTGAAAGCGCCCGCTCGATGCGGTGACCGGCGTTTTTGTTCGATGGCCGGCAGCCGAAATCCGCTGCTGCGAGGATGACCACCACCGGAGTTCGCGTGACGGTGATTGACGCTCCTTGGTGGATTTGTCACCAGGGGCCCTGGCAGTCCGTTGAGGCGTTTGTTCGACGTGACCTTAATGGAGCCACAGCCGTTTGGGACTTTCCGTGTTCAACAAAGTGGGTGTGAAATGGATGTTTTAAAATGTTCACTTTGGTTAAATATTTAATTTATAATTCAGTAATATATTGTCAATTTTTTTCATTTGTTGTTACCTCTTTTCACTGCCGTGTTTATATTGTATTAGAATTTTTACGCGACCTGTTGGAAACGTGTTTTTAAATTTTACTGTTTTTTTGTTTTGTTGATGAAATCCGATTCATGAGCTTCTTAGGTCACAGGGCAATTTTAAATAAACTGTTCGAAAAAAACAACAACAACAACAACCCTGTGGTATCGTTCGAAAGAGCGTGCCGCTGTAAACCGTTACGATAGCCCAAATCCCCATTTTTTAATTGTGAAAATTGTTCGCATTTTATTTTACGTCAGTAACGTGCTAACCAAACAAGGCAAAACATCGAAATAGGCTCTGATCTGGTAAAATGAAGATTGTTAATCAATTAAAACCACGGTAATTGGAAATCGCACGCATTAAGGGAAAGCACATTCATATTCACAGCGAGAGGGTGACTGAACCTGCGCCACGGTGGTACTTTTTGCCAACAGCTTGTGTAGGTTACACGGGGGAGCTTTTTTCTCTATGGGCGTGTGCACATGTGTTTAGGCTTGTATGGTGTTTTGGTGTGTACACGCGTGCGACCGTGTGTGTTTGGGTTCGTATGTAAGCGTGTGTGTGTATGCATGCCGCTCTTGGGGATGCGGTAGTGTAGTGGTTAACGCACTGCGCTACGATCTCAGCCACCAGAGTTCGATTCCCGGCCACGACGACCAAATAACAGTGACGAATGTCTCGGCCAGTTCTGGGTCGACTTGGCTTTTAATGAGCACCTGGTGCGGTGTGTAAACATCAGCACTGGAGAGACGAATGCGGCCGGGCGTGGTGCTGGCCACCCACCCCCTCGTGTGTCATGCCGGCCTGAATCAGTGCTCACTAACAGCACTTGACCCTACTTCCTTGGAAAAGGCAATGTGGGGGACCATTGTCTCTGTGTGGTATGTGTGTGCCTGCACACGCGAGCGTACACATAGGTGCTCGCTAACAGC